GCGAGGAACAATGTTACAAAGTTAGAAGGGTAATACACCGGAAGTTGTATCTACTAGGATTTTCTATGTATTTTTGTAACAACTAATAGAAACAAATTACTTGAATGAGGTTGAAGGGCGGCTTAATATGACGGTTTATTTAATCAGCTAGAATTAAATTTAATCGTAATCAATCGCCCGCATATAGTTATAGAACGGTTCAAGGGCTTTAGTGTTCTAGCCTGGCTTAGGTATGTTGTAAATACTTAGCTGTTGCAGTATTCCGTCAGAAAACAATTAAAAAAGTTACTATTGGCATGACCGGGTGTCTGGTTTTGTGCTAGTCGTAAATTGGATTTTAAATAAAATAGATATTATAAACGGCTCAGTATATTGCAATATGGACCAACAACATAAATTCACTGTTTTATTTTTAAGGGATGATCCAGTGTTTAAATAACTGTTAATTGATATAATAATAATTTCTTTAAAATGATTTAAAATAAAATATGAACCACTGGCCTACCAAATACTTACATTTACACTTGTTAAGGCTTAGCAATATTATGTAAAACTGATTGATTATACTAGTGTATATTTACTATTGAGGAAAATGCGCAAACGCTTATTTCAATTATTCGATAACACATGGGAGGTAGGTATTCAAGCCTAATATGCGTTATCGGTAATGCGAGACAAAGAACATTTTTTTTTATGGTTATGGTCAGTGTGTTAGTGCGATTCGCAATTAAACAACGTTAAACAGTTAATTGATGAACGTAGTTCCGAGATCGGTATAAAGCAGTTTTCTTTTTACCCCTTACAAACAGTAACCGAGTTTACAGGTTGATACGTAAACAATTAAAATTAACTATAATTAATGTGCTATATACCAAGTAGGAAGTCGGAAAGTAACGGAACAGTTAACACAAATTGACTGACAATAATTCATAAGTCAAAAAGAACCAAAATAATGTATGTAATTTTAATTACAGTATACGTTAAATAAAGGTTAGTAATTATTTAAATATCTGTATTATTATTATTATTATTGCTTGATTAATTCAATATTAATATAGAATTTGTGTAGCTTATGAGGGTAAATAGCTGAAAAGAGCCTTTTTTAATGTTGTATGAATCATAAGGGAAAATATTAATATAGTTATATATTTTTTTCGATGTTTACTTTCGAAAATATGAACATAGGCCATATTAACCGTTCACACAAGACAAGAGATAAGGATAAATTATTAAGTAATTGTACAGGTCTTTTTTAATACGATAAAATAAATATAAAATAAACATTGTTGTCATATAGCAGAAATGTTGAACTTGCTAAATTAATAACCGTTAATATCCGTCAGCCATTAATATCCTGTCATAACAAATTCTTGTTTATTATTTTTTGAAAAATATAACAATATTTAAATTTCTTACGAATATTTCAGAAGTCTAAAATTTTTAGGTTAATACTTTTATAATGTTATAAACATGTGTTTAAATAGTAAGAACTAAAGTAAATAGTATTTAATTTTCTACTTCTTTTAGTCAGATAAGAAATCATAAAACTTGGAAAATGTTGTCCTCTTAAGTAGGTATGTCATGACTAAATGTATTTTTAAAATTGTTTATTGTGGTTACTTTAAAGCTTAAATAAATACAATTCGTAATACTATGTATACATTAGCAATTTAAAAATTCAGCATAATATTGTTGAGTAAAAATTGAAAAAAACCCGTTTTTATTTTATTTTTTTAACAAAAATACCGTTGTTTCATGTTATTGCATATATTTTTATAACTGTTTGATTAAGCACTAAAATATGTATTTTATTAATTTGTTACATAATGCTAGTTATCTTTAAGCAAACCAGTTTCTTGTCCATTAGTTTTTTTTACCACCGTATTAATAATTATTAGGTATCAAGTAGTATTATATCGAATAACAATTAGATAAGATAGTCATAATATGCATATTATACCAAGCTTTCACGCTATTAAAAAATATTATTGAAAACCTATTTTTTCTTAATTCTTACTAATTTACTGCAGACATAAAAAAGCATTCAAAATTACTAAAAATGTCATTCTAATGGAATGTTGTTGTGTATAACGAAAAGTATTTGTCACGCAATAAGTGGCTTTATTTTAATAATGCCTAATTTTTTTTGTCATTAACTCTTGATTTTCAAATTATACTTTTAAAATTACACTTTTATTTGACATTATTTTAAACTGGAATACTGAAGTACTACTTTTATGTTTATGTATGAGAATGATTTTTTGCTATGTTAAACATGTGTAAAAAAAAAAATTATTCTGCGTGTTAGTTATTTATGTTTTTTAACTCACAGCCTAGTGTGTTAGGTAGTGACGAGTGTTGAAGATAAAACCACTTCACATATTTTCCTCAAACTAATATATTCTATTGATAATTAAAACAAACAACATGGTTGACATACATACATATTTTCCTATTATTTTACAAAACGTGTAATTATTTTTGCATAATTAGATGTGCAAAATATATGAGGTTTTGAATTTTATTTACAGCTTAAAACAAAACTAATAATTTTAGTTAATTTACTAAAAACACGAATTAATTTTCAACAGTAAAACAAGTTAACAAGTTTCTACAGCTATAGAATTTAATGCAACTAACGATGACACCAACTTGTTTTATTATAATAAATATTTATTAGAAGTATGCATTTATCTGAACTATTATAAGTTGAAAAATTATTTTTAAACAAAATCTGTCTTGGATAACATTAAAATTTTTTATTAACATTTTTTTATGAGTACTTTCTCGTTTGAAATGATAAAACACTTACAAAAAAGGTTTAAAAAACATTAAGTTATGATCAGTGTAAGTAGCTACATAGTAAAGGTACATCATTGTTTTTTTGACAACTGTATACATAGTAAAAATAAAATTAATTAATCAATTGGCTGAAACCTTATGCTGCCATTTTATTTTTATCATCAAAAATTTCGATGGAGATGCAATAACCTAGTATTAAAAAGCCATGGTATAAACGTTTTGGAATCTGAGTTAGGTATATGGTTTCATGAAGACGTGTATGGTAAATTTACTAATAAAATCCCTTTGTTCCTATAGACCGAAAACAAATGGTGTTATGTGGTTGTGTCAAGTTGAAAATTTAAAAAATCGGTAATTTTTTTATTGTTTTGGCATAATAAACTCGGTCTTGAATTAGAAGAGGTGGTGAAGTCTTTTGAATTTCTGACGTACCAAAGTCTTTTGAATTTCTGACGTACCAAAGTTTTGGCCGTTTATACAATTTGTAACGATGCATGCTCTGATCAATGTAGGTATCTGACTCGATCAGTTGAAGTGTATTTTTCTTTAAAACGAGCTCGATACCGTCTCCACTAGATTGCGGGCAAACTGGTAAAAACTAGTATCAGCCAACGTGCTCGTGAACAAGTATCTAGAAGAATATAACACTCACCACCACCTCCACCACAATTACTACCGCGATCCTCAAGGTACAGATTGTTGTATGCCCGTCTACCGTTCGATTCCAGTCAGTCAAGCATGTCATATGCAACCGGTTATGCTGGCCACACGCGCATAACAAAAGACGTTGTGATTTTTTAAAAAACCTTTTCCGGATAAATTTTTCAACATAAGTTTGTACGCGAAACGCGATCACATCGAATGGTGTAAAATTGTTTAGTTCCCATGCGTGTTCTATAAGTGGACAAAAATATACATGAAGCTGGTGAATCTGGTAAGAGTTTGTTATTCATACGAAGGGTGTACTGGGTTTTGTCAGAGACACGCACATGGCCGTTAAAAGTCAATAATATAAAAATAAATATAAACGCAGTTGTGATCAGATTTCAATTACAAAAATTCGTGTACGATCGATAACGCATTCTATAGCCTTAACAGCTTTTCAATAATAATTTATCGAGTAATTTAATTTAGATTTCGTATCGTCTGAAAGGGTAGGACTGACTGAGTAGAGCTATAATAATATTAAGTACAAGCCACTTAAACTCGGTATTCGATGAGCTTTTAAGTCAGCAAATATTTTAAAAGATTTGTTATAGATTTTATTTTATACTGTATTAATGACAATATTTTTGGAAAATATTGTTTTCTCGAATTTATTATATCTGGTAAAATATTTGGTAAATGATAACTCTCACCCTTGTTGTTTGTAATTTACTCATAAATTACCTAACCGTAAGCATGATGTCTATTAAATATATTTCTCGAGTATTAAAATATACAGTACAATATTGTGATATTAAAAAATGCATAAATATTTGATGTTATGAAGCACATAGATTAGGTTTTAATTGATAATCTCTCATTCTTATAACTATCTTTTATGTCATTAACTTATGATGTTAGGTTTGTTTACACGAAGAACACCGCTATTTATATATTATAGTTTATTAACACTTATAATCTAATAATAAGTGAAAAAAGACAGATTTCCCGTTAATACACTTATCCTGATTGCTATAGTGAATAGTGAACTGCAAACTTTCAATTACAATATTAGACAAAACAATAATATGTTTTGTTTTTATGAGAAAAATAAATTGTATTTAAATTATTTACGTTCGTTAAAATATCTTAATATTTTAGCTGATATAATATTATTATGTTAAAAGCGCATTATTTATAAAATTCTTGTAAAAGCCGCCAGGAAGCATTGACGTATCGCCGATAAGAGCGTAATCTAAATGCAGTTCTATTAAAATGACGTAAATTATACGACACTGCACGTTTGAGGGGTGGGGAGAATTCTACAATGCTGTAATAATAAAAACGATAAATTTAAACGCAAACAATAATAATTTTAGATCTAAAGACCACTTTCGATAATAAACGTTTATTTAATTATTATTGTAATGACGTAATATTATAAAAATGCTTCTAGTAAATCAAAAGATCAAGAGATGGTATAAAATATAACCTCAAAGGGGAATAACATAATAGTATTGTGGTTAGTGTCCGGAAGTCGATGGTGCATCGTAGTTTGGTCAACTTGGCGTAATATAATTATTATTTTAACGCTGATCCGAATAATCGCAAATGCACATAATTTACAAAATATTATAATGTATAGTATATTGATTTACAGTGTAGTCTTTTTATTTTGTTGTCGTTATTTTTCTAAACACAAATTCGATGACTATTCAATATTACAAAACGTTCATTCTCGTGTTATGTATATTATAGTATGTATATTTTATTACTACTTAGTTGTTACTTGTTCGACACAAACGTCCATATCATTATTAGTAGTATTTTTAAACCAATTCGTTTAAGAGTAATATTTTCTAAAGCATATATAAGCTCAATAATTTGTGTGTTGACTACATTTTTACTTAAACTATAATTTTTTAACGCGGTAGAATGATATCCGTGAACTACCTATTAAAATTATAAGCCTCCATAACAAAATTCAAAGGTAATAAAAATAATTTATAATTAATACATTTAATGCTTGTATTATCTTCTGCAAAACAAATTTGTTTGATTTTCTTTTATTATTGATGACTGATTGCCAACGTATTCATTTCGTCTTTTTTTTTTTAAATCACTAATCAGTCCCTCTTCCCAATGGAATGTTTGTTTTGTAACTAAATTCAATCAGGAAAAAGTTTCCATCGTCAGAATACAATTAAGTATGAAAAACCTGTTTACAAAAAGTTGCGAATAATGTTTAGGCAAAAAATAATTGGGTAGTCGCGTGCATAAATGTATATTAATTATTACAATTTTAAAACAGTTACATTGTTAAACCTCGAGCAGCATAATAATATCTACATAGGTTAGTGCTGTTAAGTACAAAATTTAATTCCGTTTGAGTGTACTACTGGTTTAGTTAAGTCGTATGATCGAAAAACTAACTATTCCAGTTGATAACGTGAACCACTTAATATCTCACTTGGTTTAATTAATATTTAATTTTTTTTCCATAATGTTTTTATACAATGTGATCTCAATTTCTTACAATTTTTATTGTTTTTACCCCCTCCCAACTTAGTTTTTTTGACAGCAACTTTTGAAACTTGAAAATGGTAACACATACATTCCATTAACTTTTTAAATTGTGACTAATGTACTAAAAATGTTGACTTGTCAATAATCAGTTTTTGATAACTTTATTTATTATATGCTTTTCTTTAACTCGCTGACACGTACATTTGTACGGGTATTTTTTGGCTACAATTGATTGTAAATTAGTTAATTGGTTAATTGGTAAATTGTTCTTGTAGTAAAATGTTTTAGTTCACTTTTTTACTATTTTTAAGAAAAGCATATTTTTAAAAAAGTTTTTTTTTATTTATAATTATATTTTAAAGTTATAAGAGTTTAAAAGTTAGGATGGGAGGGGAAGTGCGGTTGGGAACTACGTACAGATTAAAATAATACTATCCTTCACATTTCCTCCTGCCCTAAACTTGAAACTTCAATAGCATCAAAAATTGTTATCGAAAACTGATTATCGACCAGTCAAAATTTTTAGTGCATTATTTTCAATTTAAAAAGTTTATGAAATGTATGCGTTACCATTTATAAGTTTCAAAAGTTGCTATTAAAAACACTCAGTTGGGAGGGAGGTAAAAACCAAAAAGAAGGTTAAAATTTGAGATAACATTGTATCAAAATACTTTGTACAGAAAAAATTGAATTTTTCATTATCATTATTATAAATATATAAGACAATTAAATAAAACTTATTTTACTATAGAAAAACTCTTATATCAATTATGAGAATTATCAATGAACACAATTTTAATGTTACCTGGCAATGTATTTGCCTACTATAAAGTACAGTTAAATAATTAAATTGTTGTTTAACATACCCCGCGCGCTGTTTTTTTAAACTTAGTAATATAGTTACGAGTATTGCAAAAAAAAAATTATAAGAATAATTATTTATTTATTGATTCCGAGTTCCGATAGCATTACTTTGTATAGACAAATAATTAAAAAAATGTGTTTTATCATATTATAAATATTGTACAATTCAATAATTTGATTTCACATTAAGTACAATATCAATAATTTCAATATACATTTCTGCATACCTATACTACAGTGTACACTGATACATAAGTACTTTAGTTTAAAACAAAATTACGATTTTTTTTTACATTCGGTTTAAGTATGTAGTTTTAATATTATAAAACTTAGACGAAGATAAAAAATGTGCGATTATTATAAAATAAAAAAAAAGAAGAAGAAAAAATGCGAAATGTTATTAAAGCGTCAAAAATATTTAGTACGAACATATATGAAATAATAAATATTGTTTTTACGATTGTACTTTTTTTGTGTGTTCGGAGATACTATAAAACATTAACCTTTAGGTCGAATTTTAATGCATTTTTTTTATTGATACTTTTTCTTCATATTATATTGTATACAGGCATCGTATATTATTGTTTATAGACAATTGTATGGGTTATCTTATTTTAATGAGATTGACCAAGGCGAGTTTTTTTTTTGAAACCATGCCTTAGATAGAGATATCGATGATAAACGTCTTGAACAAATATTTGCTAAATATTTAGTTTGACTGCAAGCTAAGCTAATTTATTACTATGCTAACAATTTAATACACTTTAGGCATATTTAAACGTGATAAAACATCGAGTGTAGTTTGTAAAAAAAAAGTAAATATTATGTTTTCTTAAAAAACAACTAATTTTAAAATTAATTAAAAGAATAAAACAATTTTTATTCGGACTATTTGATTTATTTGACGGCGAAAGTGCTTTTAATCCTTTACTTTCTATATCAAAATACAGGAAAAATATTAATTTTTGGATTATTTAAAGTAACATATTCACATATTATTTGAAAAAATATTTTTTAAAAGAGATTCTCGTGTTATTAAAATAATACAATCGATAAAAAAGGAAATGCAATTGTCATGTTCTCTGGCCTGTTTCTCTTGTGTCATAAAAAAGTCACGAAAAGACCTACTGATAATAGAATTTTTAAAAAAAAAAACGTCGTTTTTGTACTTTTTATCGTATATGTCAACTGTATGCACATTTACATGTAATATATGGCAATGGATTTCAACAGCTCAGACGTTTCCGTCTGGCCCCTAATTACTCGGAATTTTTGGTAATTAATGATGGCTCGCTAAAAAAACCTCCAAATCTAATAACGTTTAAAAGAAATATCATGCCTATACAATCACATGGACAACGGATTAATAGCAATAACAAATTACATATTATTATGTGTTTACATAGTTTGTATGTATATTGTATTTAAATTATGTACTTTTATGTGTACGGTCAATGTTTCTATTCCAATAAACGTCTTTTCACGGTTAGATTAATTGGTATGACTGACAATTTTTATTTATTTTGGCACACCCTTATAAGTAAACGTAAACCTTATAGAATGTATTGTATTATATATTAAATAAATATTTTATTAAAGCCAATTACCTACATTTGATTCCTTAACGGTTTATTGTTTGGATTCGTTCTACGGTTTTTACTTTATAATATTATATAGTGTTATTATAATGTCTAAATAGCTAAGACTGAGAAACAATATTAACGTTTACGTTAATACTTTCATAGTATACAATGATATTTTAGATTTATAATATCTGAATGTCTCATAAATGTAATACATTATTACAACATGTGTATAATATAACTACCCTAAATAAATAATATACAAAATATTGGCACTACAAAGAACTAAGTTAAACGTTTATTTTTTGATAGGTTGTTTTTCTATAGTCATTTTTAAGAAGTTTTTGTGGTCGCTTATGATATTACAATAATAAATTATTATTGTTTAACTTTTCTTCTTGGAAATATCACGGTCTTCAATTATAGATCAACTCGATTTATTTAGAGCGAAGAAGTAAAAAAAAAAGACACTCGGATATGCGATTTATCAATTTTCTAGATTGTTTGTTGAACCGTTAACTTGGTGACCAGCAAACAGGTGCAGCTTGAGTAGGCTATCTATATAGTGGTGTTAGCAACGACAATACTGATGTTATATTACCTATAATATCTTTTGTGTACACAAGTTGAGCAAACTGTGTACCTGTTAATTGCTCGGTATAGTTCACAAATCAGCGTCCATCAAAAAAACAGTGTAGAGTTCAAAACCTACATTCATGATAGTTAACGATGCGCTTGTGAGAGTATCCGCGTATAAAATTAATAATAATATTATGACGATGATGATTTTTATTGTTTGTCGTTAAAAGTACAACATAATATGGACACACAGGGTGTTGTGTGTGCCACTAAGTACAAAAAAAAAAAATTTAATTAAACCTGACGTTTTTGAACGGCGTCGGGCGAATACTAAAATCACATTTAATATTCCGGACCGGACTATGACATGGATACGTTCCGTTTCCGTCTTGGTAAATTTCTTATTGTTTTCGCCAATGACCCGGAACATCAACACCGATGTTCGTGGGCGTGTACTACCACTTACTTGTCGCACTGGCGCGGATAGTGGTGGAAAAGCAGAATAACAAAGCTATATATATATATATATATATGTCTATGTAAAATAAATAATACAAAAACTCAAATTGAACGAAGATAGTTGTTGAAAATTTCCGCAGTATTTTAATATAGGCGCACCGACTCGACCCGACCGATGCTTACCGAAAGCCCACGCGTAAATCATAATGTCCATCCAACGTTGATTATTATATTTTATCCGAGAACGAGGTATATCTGTGTATGAAATAATTTGATAGCGGTGGAATGGGCGACGAGAAACGAAACGGCGATTTAGTGAAAGCGAATATTTTTCAACATATTTTTTTTCCTCCCGCGATGTCTTCGGCTGTCTGTTTTAGATTTCTAATTAGCCATAGAATTCGTTAATAAAACAAAAACATAACGCCGGGAGTTAAAAAAAAACGAGATCGCGTACACTTTGTTGTTTCGGTTTTTTTTATCAATACTCAAAAGTAAAAAAAAAACCTCGATCGATTGTTTCCGAATAATATTATAAACGTCGAACGACGGATAACTATGCCTAAGCGAGTTATTACGAATTACATCGAGTTCAGAACTAATTTTTTGTTTTGTCGCGCATCGTTTCATTAGAGTACTTTAATATTATAATAATTATTACAACCAATCAAACGGCGGTTTTCAATTAAACACCTCTGGAGAATACTAAACCATAAGCGCTGTACGGTGATAAACGAGAGAGCTCCGGGCCTCTAATAATGACCATAATGTCTAAATGTCTAGGTCGTGTGGAGATATTAACGTTATAGGTTACGTCCCAGACAGACTTAATATAGGTACAGTTGAATGGATGCTAACCGAGTAATATTGTAATTTTCACGGTCTTTCAAAAACACATTGCTCATTGCACAGCGAACATGTATACATTATTGTGGCAGTATATTAAGACTATAAGTATGTGATTTACCAATGTAGCTTGTAGGAAAAATATCAGTCTTGAAACTACACAGAAACGGAGGCATATTTTTCCTATAAATGTCCTATTGAACTATTTATATTGTTTAACACAGGCTATTGACGATCAAGGTCAACAGCTATGTTATATACTTGGCAACGTCTTCGGTCTCGGTAATCTACTTTTATACCGTGGCATATTTGTATAAATGCTTTAAATGGTATTAACGTCATGCATACATATATATATATATTTATACACATATATATAATATGTAGTTCTAAATGAAATAATTGCAACAAGTGTAACTGGCTCTTTTTTTCGACTTAATCACACATAAGGTAATCTAATATACATATCGTGATTTAAACATAATTTTCTTAGGATTTATAATACTCGTAGATATATAATACTACAGGGTAAAACGTTATAATTTATTATTATTTTTGTGTTCTTTTTTATTTTAAAATAAGCGTATTTTGAAAGTGTCATTGTTTTAAATAGTTTACCTAAAGCGTTATGTTTTGTCGGCCAATTCGTTCAACTAGGTTTTGTTAAAATACATAATACAACACAAATAATAATAATGTACTGTTTCCTAACTCGAACAGATACGTGTAGACATTTCGTTTTCACGTTAAGCGTTTACTAGTCGAGTGACGTTTATATGTGTAGATATCTTCGAGCTGAATAAGTAATAATAGGTCAAAAGGACAATATTAACAAACATTGCACGATCATCGCGTGAGTACTCCTTTTTTGATTATGAAGTATTGGCGAGCTTTTGATGGACTTCTTAAACGTATGTGGCTGCCCACGCGTGTGTCCATTTGATAAATATTAAATATACCAGATCAAGTGGGTCAGTGGCATGGTACACTAACATAATATAATACCTATATGTATATATAATACATATTATTCATTACTTATTATTTTACCGCTGTTGAAATTTGAACACTTCAAAGTAATCCTGTCAAAACAATAAGAAAAAAAATTATTACACGCGTCCTTCCAATAACTTCTAGACATATTCGTAGGCGAAGTAAAAGATAAAACGCTATTTACTATTTTAAATCTAAGTCTCACTACCTACATACAAGAGTGCCACGGGTGTACGAGTATTAGTTGATTAAGGAAATATAACGATGAATAATCGACTAAAAATGAACATAACCAAACAAAGTATAAGCTACCAATATATATCTATATTTATATATATATATATATTAAAATATAAAAAACGAATACTGTTTGATGACTTACTAACAAACTCGCATCAAAGCGCATCAATACTGCGATGGAAATGGTATTTAAGCTGAAAATGGTTAAATCATTGTCAAACACTGATGCGAGTCTGTTTATAATCAGTCATTAACTATCATTCGTTTTTTGTTGTTAAATATTGGCCTTTTTGATCTAGCTGGGCTAAAAGGTAAGGTCACGTTAGGTTATCATAGATATGTTAAAAACTAGATTATTAAATGTCATGTTTTAGCCTGCAAGCCACACAAAGTCGGTTTTCAAGTATTTTAGCTGTGGGCTTTTGATGAATTATAATTTTTTTTTCTCATAAAAAATTGAATTATTAAATAATTAAAATTTTAAATATCGTCATATCTAAACTACACCAACTCGACACAGGTCTCACTGTCAAATTGGTGAATATCGACTTTAACCTGTCATTAAAAGCTGGAAAACAAGTTTAAGCTTAACTTTATCTGCGGTACTTAAGAAATTGTTGTGTATATAAAACAATCTAGCATTGTCGTTAAACAAAAACAAAACTATTATTGAGCAATCGAACCTTCTCGCATTGATGTTAAAAAATTGTAATTAAATTTTACTTCAAAAAGATCAGATACCGAGTGGCGGATTAAAAATTGTTTAATAAGTATAGTGATTTTAAAAACCACAAACGACATGTATCGGGTGCTGGCATTGGCGTCACGTCTTGGCCGACCGGCAGTACAACAACTTGTACCAGTTTTCAGGGAATCGCATGAAAATCAAGAAAGTCACGCAAAGTGTATACAGAGTGCACCACGATGATTTAACAGATTTCTATGTACTATCCTACAAAGTTAATCTGTCGGTCACCGTGACACATCCTATATGTGTGTATTTATATAATTTGTCTATACATTGATGTACAGGTAAGCAGTGCTACCCTATACACACAAAAACGGTTACATTTTCTTACGGGATTCCCGCCGTCCACCATCCGTCGACCTATTGGCTATAACGAGAGTACCTCTACTGCCAGCAAAAATCGATTACCGTGTTTGTGTATAGCACCGCTAATCTGTATTTTGTTTAAATCAATGATCTCTAATGCCAAATACCCATTTTGGTGATTACAATAACCGTCGTTTATATAGCAGCTGTTTGGATCAATTTGGAATGATAGTAAAAACAACGAAAATAAATACAATATACATAATTTACACATAGTTATTATAATATTACTAATATATTTTTATCGGTGGCGTTTCCACATAATAACAGGTGTATAATAATATATAATGTATGCAATCGGCAACATAATTTATAATGCACGTGCTCGTCAAAGTTACTGCATCCGCGGTTGGCGTTATACACGGCTTTCACATTCCTTAGCGCGATTTACTTCCAGGTACGAAAACAATCATTTTCGCATAAACAAATTGTTGACCCGTCGACTTTGGCCCCGAGTGCTGTGGTTTCCGCTTAACGCACCCACAGAGGTCGCCTCGTCATAACAACAGGGTGTCCCCGCCGCAACCGCACCAGATTATTTCCGTTAGGAATATTAATAATACCAATTATCGTTATTGACGAAGTTTTAAAAAAAAAAAGTACACAATTACTAATACAACGTAACAGCAATAATTATAATAATATTATCCACGATAATACATCCTACAGCGTCACAGCGTGAAGACACGGCAAATGTAATGTCTTTCGTGCAAGGTTACCCACAGGCCTATAAACGATCGTATCACGTACCATCGGCCATACCGGTCTATTTTTTGTCGGTTCTGTCGATGATGGATGTCAAGCGTACATTATCTCTGTGTTGTTGCTATCATCGCTGACAAGGTTGTAACATTCTCTGAAAGTGAAACCCAGCGTGAGTCGGTTCGACATCGCATAACGTTTAGGTATTATCACGGTTGCCAGGCGGTCGGGTCCTATTTGAGGGGCTACGTGGTTTGGCTTCTGTCCGTGACCGTTGCACTTGAAGAAGAATAATAACCGCGTAGAAGAAAACAAAAAATGATCGTACCGTAAGTTGTCACTCAAAAGTTTTCCGACTCGACAACACGGTAATAAAAAAAATCAATTGCGGTCGAAGGCAATCATAATCGTTTATGTTATGTCATAGGTACTATGGCGGTGTATAGATTTGATGAGTACTCTAGAAGCTTTAGAAAACGCTGACCGTTCACGTGTCCGATCGTTTTACTTTTACCCGAACTGGCGATATTTTTTAAAAGCTTCATCTCGTTAAATCGACGCTGCAATAATATTCCTGTACTATTCCTGCGTTGACCGGTGAAACAGCAAGCACATCTGAAGTGTTCGTTTCACCTACACTGGTTAATCAGCCGTGTAAACTATAGCAACCGCAACAGACTGTGAGCAAATCGACTGTATTATTATAGATATAGGCGCGTCAAACTGTTTATCGGATTAACACAATATTCAAACGTAAATACCTATCATAGCATTACGTTTTACTAATAATATTGCTATCTCGTGGCAGATAATATATGGTACATGTAAATCGATAATTTTACAGACGTGTTAAAATGACACTTGTTAGGTACCGATGGTTAATAAGCTGTAAAAAGAATTTACCTTGCACGGTTCTAATGCAGTTATTGGCAAATTCGTTTTCTGTTTAACGGATGGGAAACGTTTTTTTGTTTAGTCGTAACTATCATACTCGAGTTAACATTGTTATTGTTTTTGTTCCAGACTGTACCCCGCTCTATGGCGGGTTTGGCTGGAAGACTATCAGGTATGATGCCGACGCCAAGCGCACGAGGGCGAAAAGGATGGTGTGGTTGTCTTCAGGTAAACTAACAAATTAAAATACTGCAGCATATGTACTTTGTAGAACTAATAATTATTAGAGCTATTGGTGGCTACATAATAACGCCACGCGATTTTTTTCCGAGTTCTTACCGCAAGGACAGTATACAATCGATATACCTATAGTTTTTTTGTCACTTGTTTTTACTTTTTTTTTAGTACACAGAAGTTAAACAGCGCGAGTTATTAAAAATTCAACGTTGTGCATTATGGTCTGTGTAACTACCTATACATTCTGTGTCGTTATGGGTGGCTGCCCCGTGGTTAATTCCAATAGTGACTTACATCGGTTTCGAAAACCGAATACGCTCATTAACGCTTCTTCCACAATTATTCCAATATATACCTATATACTTTACACGGGACGCGGTTATTCTAATTGTATTAGCTGAGTTTATCGATACCGCATCTACACACCCAAGGCCGCATCTATAACGCTTCCAGTGAAAATGTATATTACCACCAAAGGCGCTTTCAGCGTTCGAATACCGATTACGCATCGACTGTAATAATTCTTAAGTACCTATATAATTTGCTTTCACAATACGGTAACGTTACATTAGTCGATCATAGGACTTTTTTCCCTTTTAGGAAGTCACGACAATTTAACCTGAACACCGTTGAAACCCGCAGTGAATATTTGCTTTTAAAATATTTTACAATACATCCCGTTTTCTGCATTGGACTCGCTAAAGACTGAACTGTTCTTATCATGAAAGGCTCATTGTTTTTTTAACTAATTGACTTATAATAATATATAATGCGTGCAATGTTCATGGCGTTTGTGAAATGCCAGTTTACCGCTAATTGTCGGAAAGATAGTGTAGTTTTTCTATAGTACAAGAATCAAGACGGATTATATGCCAACAATTTTTCTAATACAAATATTAAACTAAAGTGTTTATAGTTAGTCAGGTTCTAGCACTTGTCACTAATCCACTATAACCAGTATAATGCTTAAATATCTATCAAAAAATAGTAATAAAAAAAAGGTTACTCGTTTTTAAATTTGTTTTGTTGATTTATTAGGCAGCTAACAAGTGATAAATAACAAAAGTTTTACATTTCACTTATAATACAAATGAACAATAAATTTAGCGTTCTTCTATATAATATTCTGTGTATTGAAATTAGATATGTATCATATATTCAGGGTTGCTGAGATATTATGTAGTTGAATTATTCATAAATACTCAATGCGTACTTGGATTTATACCATCAAATGGTTGGATACAACCAAATTTGGTCGTTTAACAGACTTGCAAGGCCTATGAAAATTCCTGTTTTATTGTTTTATTGAATCAATTTCCATGGTAAACGTGTACAATGTTTATGTCTTCTGTATTCTAGTCGTTAAATGAATTCTTTTATTAAATTTTCGATTCGAATAGTTCAAATTCTGTTGGAAAAAAAACACAAACAATACACGTACAACGTATGTTACGGTGGCTTTTCAAAAAAAAAGTGAAGTCCTCGCCAGAGTTGACAACCGTGCAAGTGGACATAGAACAAAATAATAATGTCAACCAAAGCAACAATATCAGTAAAGTGGTATGATCACTAATTTTTATTATGGTCATCGCTCTCACAATTTTGGGTCAATTAAATAGTATAGTAGAATGCTCCGATAACACAGTGATAGCACAATTAAGGCTATTGGGTACCGGCCAATTTTTAAGGAGGTTTGTATAGGCAATATTTAAGAAAAAAGTGGTTTTAATAAATTTCGACCATGTCAATTAATTTACCGTTTAATTTGTATAAGCTTCATGGTATTAACCATAACGCTTAGCTATTATTATTTTTGATAAAAATATTATGAAAAATATTGCGAGTTCCTTTAGTTGAATTAATTTGGATAATCGCTACAACTGTTCTGATCAATTTGTTTTATAACCGTACACTTGACGAATGTTTATGATACTATTATCAAGTAACCGGAATCCGTGTTTTCGCTTATTTTTTTTCTGACAGCCCAAGTGTGTTGTCGCTTGCTTTGGTTTGTTGTAATTAGCGGCTTTAGGCTACGAACGTGTAAAACCGTTTAAATTAATCGACACAGCCGTAAACGAGACTGTGTGTCGTAGGTGCTTTCTCCATCTGTATACGCCATGAGTCATTGCATTATCATCATAATATTATCAAGCTAGGTGTATGCATGTACGCCGTACAGATACAATTATTGACGGCCGATTGAGATGAGGTTCGAAGACATTCGGATTCGGTGTGTGGATATTAATAATATTCGGTATTGAATATGATAACGGATGGAAATGTGTATTATATTATTGGTATTATTGTTGTGTGTTTACAACGAATGGATAACAATCCCGCAACGCGCACGCGATAGATTTGTGTTAGTGTTTGTCTGCCTGTCTGTCTGTACAGTATTTGTGTTCATCACGCTGATAGTCCCCTAAACCATGACTGTCGAACACGTTTTTTTTTTCAGTATACTATATTATAGATTTCTTATTGTCTGATCAGTGCTTGTACAAATTATTATTATTGTAGGTACAATGTACTTGGATTGCGTAACTGTCATACTACAAAAATCATTATTGCCTCCAAAAAATATGTATTATAATATATTACACTATTATAGTATAGTAGTAAGATCACGAAAAATTAGAAAGTAGAAAGATATCTCATCGCCTCGAAACTTTAATCCTTATTTTTTCCTACACAACAGGCATCACGTACGATGGTTTAATTGGATAATATCTTTCAGGCTGACATTTACGGTCGCCATAATTTTTTATCCAGGGTCGAGTGGCCGACAACGTTTTTTAACGATGACTGAAAATCGTTTTTATTAATTTTTCTTATGCCGAATAATTTTAAATTAATCAATAATTATTATGGACACTTCAACGCATAACTATGTTATAATATAATATGCGTCTGTATTACATTAATTATTTTTAATTACTTTTTTTTTTATGATCATGCGGTTCTATGTATGATTTAACTTCAATTTGGTGTAATTCACCAGTTACTAATTACATCAATAATTAACAGTTTTAGATAGGATAATCGCTACGGAAATATATTTAAAACACTTATTTGTATTTTATTTTGAGTTATTAATATTCATCAAATAACAACGTGTGCATATACATATCATACATTTATTTTTATATTTTTTTTTATTTTGATGAATATAGTTTGATGCCATAATTATAAATGCATTTATCTTACAGGACGATGAGCCGCCAGAGATCACTTATTGTGTTGTTGACAACTCGGGCACATTAACACTGCAGACGATGACTCCCACAATACCCATGCCTGAAAAATCCGAACTAGATAGATTGTTTGCCGAGCTGGTGGTAAGTGTCATGGTTTAATTTTTACTTGGGTTACTCACTATATACGTATATATATATATAAATTTAAAATTATACGTGCATGGATAATTTGTCCGGGTTATCGTTACACAATCATCATAATATTATGTTCCACTTACATAACATGTACAGATGTACCCGAGTCGTTGCGGTGCGTGCCATCATTTATGTTATTCCACTCGCATTGTTGAAGGGAGAGTAACTTTGAAAAAAAGCTATTTGACCACCTATAGGACATTGAATGGATTTTTGTTTCTTCATTGTGTATGTTATGTCCATGTATTTTATTTTATTATTTATTTTTATAGGAAGAATTAGATCTCACTGCTCCAAACAAGACGGCCATGTTAGAACTCCCCGCTGAAAAAAAATGGCAAATTTATTGTAGTAAAAAAAAAGTACATCGGACTTGTTTGAAAAGTTAACATAAAATGTTTTCTATTTATTTATAATTTAATTTTCTTGTATAGGATCAAGAAAATACTACAGATTTATCACAATCGCCAGAATACTATATAGAACGAATAGGCACGTTAAATGGAGAAAAAGACGAACAAGAAAATGTTCGCTTATTCGATTCATTGAAGACTGCCTTAAGAACCCAACCACATAGTTTTGTATTACGATTTGTACAAGCTGATGGCCTAGTCGCTCTTCTAGAAGTTTTGTCGTCAATGGATTATGATACACAACAAGGAGCAATGCACACTTCAATAATAGGATGCATTAAAGCCCTTATGAATAACTCTGTGAGTAATCTGGCAAAATGTTCAGCATTTTACAATTTGTATCTTGTTGGATAAGTTTATTACAATTTGTTGAGAATACAAATGTTCATTTTATAACTCACATCCTGCTATTTAATTTTTAGACTGGGAGATCTCATGTTCTAGCACACCCTACTGCTATAAGCACAATCGCTCGGAGTTTACTTACGGAAAACCCTCGAACTAAAGTCGCGGTCTTAGAAATTCTCGGTGCGTCCTGTTTAGTTCCAGGAGGGCATAAAAAAGTGTTAGATGCCATGACCGACTACAGAGAGTTTGCTCACGAACGGGCCAGATTCCAAAGAATAATTAACGATTTAGATAGGAACACGGGTATCTACAGAGATGACCTGACAGTGAAAACTGCAATCATGTCATTTATAAATGCTGTATTAAGTTATGGGCCCGGCCAAGAGAGTTTGGAATTCAGACTACATTTGCGGTATGAATTTCTACAGCTTGGTTTAAAAAACATTATTAACAAATTAAGAGAGCACGAGAATCAAACCTTGGACCGGCACATGGATTTTTTTGACATGGTCCGAAATGAAGACGAAAAAGAATTGGCAAGAAAATTTGAACAGGTACTTAGAATTATATCTACAACATACTTAGCAAACAAAAGATTTATTTTTGTGGTCATATATCAAAAAGTGATAACTCCAAAATTATGATTTGTTTCATGAATAACGTTGTTTTTGTTTTTAAAAGACAAACACTTTAAACGTACGACAAAAATTGCCTAACTTTGGAGTTAATCCATGTTTGACATACCTATATATACTTATAAATAATTATTAACACTTTTTAGGAGCAAGTTGATACCCAAAGTGCAACTTCTATGTTCGATTTAATTCGCAGGAAATTAAGTCATTCTCCGGCGTATCCTCACTTTCTTTCTCTTTTACAACATTTCTTGTTGTTACCTTGTAAGTTATAAAAATAACGAACTCAATACCCATTAATTAACTAATTGATTAATAATTATTTTTAGTGGATTATGGGAGTCTACCTCAACATTGGCTATTGTTTGATCGGATTGTTCAACAGATCACACTTCAAACTGATTCTGGTATCGATAATGACGTGACACCAATCAGTATAAATGTTAAAGAAATAGTTCAACAGTAAGTTTAAAATAAAATAAACTAAATGTATTACCATATTTTATCTTAAACTATCTGAAAATATCTTATGATATTCTTAGACTAGCCAAAGAAGAAGAACTTGTAGCTGCAAGAAATAAGGCAGAAGAATTAGAGAAAGAAAACAGTAACATTGTTGCTTCACTAGCTAAAAAAGAACAAGAACTAGACTTAAGGAATCAAGAAAAAGTAAGTTTGTATTGCTTTAAGGTTTTGTTTATTGTATATGTATTAATTAATTAAAATTGTAAAATATTAGGAAGACATGGAAGCCAGTATTACTAGAGTCAAAGAACGTCTAGAAAAAGAGCTCTCCACTCACTTAGAAACCAAACAAAAATTATCTGAACTTGAAGACACCGCAAGTGAACTTCAACATAGGATAATGTACGAACAAGAAGAAAGACGGAAGCTGGAAGCGATGCTTAACAATGGGAGCTTACCAGATGATGCTAAGGTCAACTTTGGCACTACTGCTGCACCATCTGCACCTATTCCACCTCCACCTCCTCCTCAACCAATATCCAAAGCTCGTGGTTCAGCTCCACCTCCAGTTCCACCACCTCTTCAAATTCTCCAACCCAATCTTCCACCTCCACCAGGTTGTCCTCCACCACTACTCACCAAACAGAGGTCTGTAGAAATTCCTAAGCCGTCTGCTCCATTGAAATCGTTCAATTGGTCTAAGTTGCCAGAAACTAAAGTAGCTGGAACAGTGTGGGCCGATATCGATGAAGGCAAAATGTACTCAACTATTGATCTCGAAACTGTGGACAAACTGTTTTGCGCCTACCAAAATCAAAAACCAGTTAACGGCGTAGTTGTAAGCAACGATTTTGTTTGTTATTATATTTAATGTAGACAGAAAATTAATTATTGTATATTTTTTTAGAATGAAGGATCGTCAGAAGATCTCAGACAAGCAGGCAAAAACAAAGCTAAAGTTTTGTCTGTAATTGACGGCCGCAGAGCTCAAAATTGTACTATTTTATTATCAAAACTAAAAATGTCTGACGAGGAAATAGCTAGAGTCATACTTGATATGGATACGAAAGATGTGTTCCCATTGGATATGGTAGAACAACTTTTGAAATTTACTCCTGGCCCAGACGAAGCAGCGTTATTGGAAGAACACAGCTATGATTTAGATAGTTTAGCTAGAGCCGATCGTTTTCTATATGAAATTTCAAAGTTAGTGAAAACACTAGATATTAATAAAATTTAATTCGTTCAAATAATAAATTCCCATTTTAGGATAGCACACTATGAGCAGCGGCTTCGAAGTTTGGTTTATAAGAAAAAGTTTGTTGCTTGGACTGGAGAGGTCGAAGGCAGAGCTAAAGTTGTGATGGAAGCATCCCGAGAGGTTGCTCGTTCTAGACGTCTCCGAAAACTGTTAGAACTGGTATTGGCTCTTGGAAATTATATGAATAAAGGAGCAAGAGGAAATGCCTGTGGTTTCCGATTGTCATCTCTCAATAGGCTAGCAGACACTAAGTCGAGTTCTGTTAGAGGTACCACTTTGTTGCATTACATTGTCGATATAGCTGATAAGAAGGTATGTAAATAATACATTTTAATAATAAAGTCTTGAATTTTAACATTGTGGCGTGTTTCTAATAGTTCAAGGATATTTTACAACTGGAAGAAGATATCCCTCACGTCAGAGGTGCTTCGAAAGTAAGCTTGGCCGAACTTGAAAAGGACATGTCACAGCTCAGAAACAATCTAAAAGAAGTGGAACGTGAAATCGAATTCCAGAGAGTTCAACCCGCTGTACCCGGTGACATGTTCCTACCAGTGATGAAAGAATTTTTGACCACGGCTACTTGTAGGTTCTCGGAACTCGAAGATCTTTTTCAAGATATGAAAACTAGAGTGAGTTTATCTAGTAGAGTGACTAGGGAAAAATTACGCGGATGGCAGTTTATTATAATTGTTTGTGTTTTCGTTTCTTGTAGTTCGACAGAGCCGTTAGGTTGTTCGGCGAAGACAATTCCACCATTCAACCCGATGATTTCTTTGCAGTTTTCGATTCATTCTTAACTGCGTTAGCAGAAGCACGTCAGGATAATACAAGCATAAAAAGGCGTCGCGAAGAAGAAGAAAAAAGAATACGGCAAGAAGTCGAGGTACTTAAAGTCAATGTCAAGTAGTGACATATTAAACTGATCAAAAATCTAAAGTATTTACTTAGTTACTATTATTATTAAGTTATTGCTCAAGACTGCTTAGAATATGCTGTTCTTATTCTTAGATTGTCTTGCTAGTTGCTACATATTACTAACACATTGTATTTGTTATATTTTAGTTAAAAAAGTTGACGTTAGATCGTAAAAACTGCAAAGACGGTAACGGTATTTTACCTAACGGATCATCCGGCCGCCGATCTTCAAACCAAGTGTCTATAAACGGCACAACCGGTGACAAAGCAGAATTCGATGACCTGATATCAGCTTTGAGAACAGGAGATGTGTTCGGTGAGGATAGCATGGCAAAGATTAAGCGAAGCAGAAAATCCAGACACTCACCGCCAGCTCGAGAACATAGCAGAGATAGAGTATTAAACGTAACACGACAAAAATAAAAACAAGTATAAAATTGTACAATCAAATTGATATGAAATTAAACGTTTTTATTTGCTGTTTATATTAGTATACATATATTTATATTATCGTTTGAGATTCCAGAAGCCTTGCATTTTTAATTTCTTTCTGTGATACGGTTTTTTGATATCCAAAATTATATGTTTGACTTGAAGCCGATTCAGACGGCCTGTAAATAAATTACCTATTCATCTTTAATTATTTTTGATTTATTGTCTTTTTACAATTATTGTTTATAGTTTTACTGCAAACTTGTAAATTATAATAATTATTACTGTATTTTACTTATATGCATATAAGAACGGATGGTTGTAAAATATATTAGTTTATACATTTTTTATTACGAACATTTTAAAAATTGATTAGCTAGATTATTTAACTATTATAACAATGGATTTTTACTATTATCATCCAGTACTATTATTATCTATAAGTTGATGTTCTTTATTGACTCTGAAGAAATATAAAATATGATAACTTCTTATTACTTATATCTTTATTTAATTTAACCTATATTTTCAATGCCAGTTATTATAATCGTAGACCATAAATTATACATTTGTATAAAATACACAATTTTGCATTGTATCGTTTTTTAATAAAGATGACAATACCTACTATATTTTTATGGATATTAATTGACGTGTGAGGTTGACTAAAAATACATTTTATCATTTTTGTTATTTTCATTCTAATAAAATTAACATTTGAATATAAATGTATGAACTGCATATTGACAATGATTAATTTATTGAAATATTACGTTTTATTTGACAATAATGATGCAAAGATGAAAAATTTTTTATCGAGTAGTTTAGTTTTGTCATAGTGGAATTAGGTTAGGAATGATTTCTTATTTATTGCCATGATAATGTTTTTTAAATGCCATACAACAATAGTAAATAGCAACATAATCATACAATAATTATGTATTATATCAATGCAATAATTACTTGTCAACAGACAATCTAATATTAACTAAAACTGGATGACCGAAGACATAAATCTCTTAAAAATAATTTAGTCATTTAAATTACAGAGTGTTATTTGAAATAATTATATTTGTAACTATCGCATTACAATTTCCCTTATATATTAATAATAGTAGGCTATTTAAAAATATTATTAAAAGCAATTTTCTAAGTATAAATATAATTTTGCAGTTAAACATGTAAATTGTAATGATTTTATCGATTATTGTAAATCGCATTATAATATGTTGCAATGTATGCAAAGACATTATCTTACTAAAAGTAAAACCTTAAAATTTTATAATTAACTGAAAAATAACTATATTGAACCATGAAAAACTATAAGATACTATTTTATTCTTAGCATTTATACATAAATTTGCAAATAAACTAGTTGGGCTGCAGCCTAAAGGGTTATAATTATCAACTTATAAGTTACAATTGGAATTAAGGAACATGCACACGACCAGTTTTTATAGGTGAAAACAATCCTTGAGGAAAAATTCTCACAATTCGTAGAATATTCGAAGCATTCTTAGTCAAACCACGCAGTCATCGACCAGACGTCAAAAAATTTCGAAATTTTTTTGGTTAACTTCTTTTCGTCTAATATAAGACCTCGTTTCACTCATATTATCCAAAATATAGATGTTTTTAAAGTTATTTTTCACAAAAAATCAACTTTGACCAGTTTTAAAATTCTGAAATTATGTATCATTAAATCAAATAATCAGAATGGGCCAAGATTTCTATTTTTTTAATAATGAAAATTTTTATTCTACAAAATATGAAAAAAAATTTATAATTTCAGTTTTTTCTATCACAAAAAATAAAACATGTCTTGGTAAAATTAGATTTTTTGCTTATTTTGGAAATAAAAAATGAAAATGTACCTTAAAAATAAAATTATACAAATTGTTTTTCATATTTTAAAGGAAAAAAAAATTGTATTTACTATATACTAAAATAAAATAGAAATAAATCTGTCCAACCTCGTTATTAGATGAAAAGATTTGATTTGAGTCTCTGATTTCATGATTAAAATAAAAACTCTGTTAAGAGTATCTACACTTCATATAGATACATCAATACATGGATATGTCCTAATAATTATATGATTATTTCCGATCTGTAATCTCCTCGTGATATATGATGATAGTTTAGTCCTAAGTATACGTTCCGGCCAAATGTAATTAGTAATATAATATCTGGCCTTTAGTTACTGTTGCCGATTTACTGGCAACATTTATCAATATTTAACATTTCTCATAAATAAATTTTCGTAGTTTGTCAGTAAGTAAATGCCTACCTAACAAGTTAATTTGACTATCCTTATTTATATCATTATATCGTTATATATCGAAGCTAAAAATTAATGATTCCATCAAAAATTCAGTTTGAAGAAGGATTGATCATTTTTTTAAATCGTATTAATTCTGTTGTTAAAAATCACCATAATAGTTTATGAGTTAAGCAGAGTTAGTAGTAGTTGATGTATAGTGATTTTACGACCAGATAAATAACTGTAAGTTTTAAGACTTGTAACTTTATCACTTTAGTAGCATTAGCTACATCTTGTCACGAGAAAAATTTGATTAATAATTATTTATCAACTTATTCGTTTTTATTAGAATGTTAATTTATAGGTTAATTTTTTTTTATCCATCTATTAATTAAAATGTTAAAAGTTAGACTTGTAGATGTTTTCAGTTCAGCTTATGTCTTATTTAAACAAACGACCGTCTAAAGAATAAAATAACTTTCCTTTTTGGGTCTTGAATTGGTTTATTCATCGTTAAGTCAGTAGTAACCCCAATCGACCAAATTAATATTTATATGTAAAACTCCCATCTGTGTCCCTCCGGGTAAAGAAAATACAAACTATATTAATGTCTAATCAGGAAAACAATTTCTCATGCTAAAAGCATTTTAAAGTCGAGGCCGGGTGAGAAGGAAAGTATAATATTATTTAGAGGTTAGCACATAACTCATCTGCTCTATATCTCTCGTCTATGCTTTTAACATAACAATTATTGTTTAGTCAAAAGTGGTTATCGACCATTTATTTTGTTGTTTTCCTTTTCACTAATCCTAATTATTTTAATCACATTTGTTACTATTTAAATGCATTCCATAAACACTATCGACATTTTACATTGAGTTTCTTCCATCTGAATTTAAATCCGTTAAAATAATCATAACAAATCTTAATTTAAACCAAAGTGATATTATTCATAATATTTTTCCTACTTCCAAAATGTTAAGCAAATTCCTTGATAAAATGTTTATATCAATATTTGTATTTTATCTATGAACACTGGAAATCCCTTACTTGCTTACTACTACTACTCACTTACGTATAATACTTCCTTATTGTGCTGGCTTATACTGTCCTTAGTTTGAACTGTACTTTAATAAACCTACTATCCACAGATTCGCATCGAAGCTTTTATTTAAAAGTGATTTTATCACTTTTAGTTATAAAAATTCCTGTAGACCCGTGCACTGCCCGTCTCCAGTCTCCACTATGTCGCAATTCTACTGTACTGACTTTTTACTAATTTATTTAATGTTTTATTGTGTTTTGTGTAAATACATTCATGCATAATACATGATTTAATAACTACATCAATAATTCGGAGTTGGTCCCCCTAAACTAAGATCTCATCAAGTAGGTGCAATATTTGTTTTAGCCTCACGACGGTTTTTTGCTAAACAATCTCTCTAAAAGTGTTGGGCTATTTGTGCTTATAATAATGAATTAACAAATATAAACTTATGAATGTGTTAAAGCTTTCTTGGATTGAAATATTATGTGGATAATTTTCTGTTGTACGATACCCCCTGGTCGAGATAGCACGACGCTATCAAGGACGTGGGACATTAAATAACGGTAGGAAACAATCAAGCCAGTCAGTATAGTCTCGACAGTGGATCGGTGAGCGTCGCTCCGAAGATGGGCCCTGCAATCAGATCGAAACGTTATTATAGAACTGGAGACATGGATACTGGATACAACCGAAAATTGTCTATAAAAAAAATAAAGTTATGAGAGATAATAAAAATGTGACAAGAAACTTTTGCCTCCTTAAAAAAACTAAAATGACGCTACTGGTTAAAAATAAAACATTTTACTTTATGTTATTTATTATTTAAGCATGCCAATATTCCAAATTTAGCGAAAAAAACCGTTGCCTATCCTAGAAAAAAATGTATAGAATGCAAATGACCTTGAACGGTCGGAACAAAATTTCACCAGGTCTAACAACTCGGCTGATCGAGAAGGAAAAGTCGTTAAATCAAATTATTTTACATATTATACAGGTTAAGTTAAAAACTAAATGCAAACCTCCAAGAAAACTATTAAAACATTTTTTAATGGTAGGTATTACAAGTGTAACCTTGGGGCAATTTTGTTGCTTAAAAATATGTTTTAACAGAAATGGGATGACGATAAGCCTCCCCAAATGGCACCAAACGGCCTAAGTTAATATAACAAATTGTCTACCAGAAAAAAACTGTTGTTATATAGTAAAAGTTAAACTATTTAAAAAAACCCTTAACCACAGACAATAAACCTTAAGATGCTTGTTTCTAATGCCCACATTATATTAAAGAATTATTAAATAATTACCCTTAGTGAATCGTGAAAAAAAAGGTGGTTGGATAAATGTATCTCGTATTATTTAAGGGGTCTCTACACTAGCATTTAGTAAGGCGCATTGTATAGGCAATTTTTCGTTAAATTTTAACATTAAGAGAACGCCACACCGGCCATTTCTAAGGAGTAAAGTATAGGCAATTTTTCGAAAAATCTTAATTTTGAGTTTGAACTATAATGTATACTTATTAATACAGTAATGAGGATACTTTAATAATTGCCATTTTTTTTTGTCAGACTATCATAGTCATTTCTATAGGATAAAATACAATTTGTTTGCCATCAAAACTGCTTTGCGCGGATTAATTTTTCTTAGGCTTCATATATAGTAAAGGAAAGAAATTCATATATATTATTTATGACAAAATTATCTGTGTATTTTTTCGATATACCTATTCCAACCAACGCTATATCATTTTTAAAAAAGTCAAAAAAGTCATTTCTTAATTAATTAATTATTCATTAACCAGTTAAAATATTAAAAAAAGGTCGATGGTAAAACACAGACAATGTTGTTGTCTGGAATATGTAAAAATTTGGTTTCTTAGTTTTGATTATAGCCTTTATAAAATTAATCCTCGCAAGGCGGGTTTTTTGAAGAAAATAACGGGTGTGTGACGTTCTCTTAAGCTAAAATGTTTAAACATACATATTACCATAGAAAAGATGTATCTATTTTGACAATTCATTTTCAACTTTTATAGCACATATAGGATCTATTTTTATACAGAAACATATATTTTCTACTTCAAACGTACTGTTCCTAAGAATTCTTCGATTTAAGTTTTGAAAAAACATTTTAATTCTTCATAACATTTTCAAGGCAATGGCTGCGGCACAACTAAAAAATTATTTTTAGTTAAAATTGTGCCACAGTCGTTGCCTTTAAAATGTTGTGAAGAATTACAATTTTTTTTTCAAAACTTAAATTGAAGTATTCTTAAGAACAGTATGTTTGAAGTAAAATGAGTTGGTTTTGACCCAAATACGCAGGTGCAGAGGCCCCTCAATAAATGATCAAGGATTGCTGGTGTGTGCAAAGATATTGTAGGAGATCATGGGAGGTTTAGGATAATAGTAGCTAATCCCTAATAGTTGGAATGAAGAAGAAGAAGTGTTCCTTAGCTACCGATATTTCATAAAATTTCATACTGTTTTTAACATGAAATAAAAAACTTGTTAAAATTCATACTAACTTATACTATTTGCCCGTAATATTATTACTTAAAATACAAAAAATTATAAAATTAAATTAAAGTGTAGTTTTAAATTGTATTTTAAAAGTCCTCTATTTAATGTAACAGGGTTACTGATGATGGAGACTATGTAACCAACTAATTTTAATAAATGCATACTGAAAAATTACACGATGCTATGTGTGTAACATTTTGCATAAAAAGTTTGCTTAATCTAACGCTAAAGTTTATGGGTTTCTGGCAATTATTATCTACCTATCATGGTCAAAAATATATTGTACCTATAAACGCATTTGATGATATAAGAGTACTAAACAAAAATCTAAAATTTCAAAAAATGCACGATAAAAGTAAATTGGTTCTTAACGTTTTGAACCACTTCAATGGTGCATAATTTTTGGTAAGAGTAAACATACAATATTTCCATACAATCAAACTAAATATTTAGTTTAATTAAAAAATAAGCAGAATAACATTCAAATCATATGCACTGGTTGTATTTTGTTATTTAAATTCACAGATATATATAATAAACTAGATTGCTAACTAGCGATAAGAATTAAAATCGACGATCCTCCATTCTGGTGGGATTTGTGTGTGTTATCAATGCATATAATATTTTTAATTTTTAAGAGGCTTCAACATCTGAGGTTATTAGCCATTGTGTACATGTTTTGTGTAAGTTACATTAATAATTAAATATCAAAGGTTACAATATTTTTTAAATAAGAATAATGAAATACAAAAGTGTTGATTAGATGCATATAATATTTATCTGTATATATTATTATATCAATATTATATATATTTATGACTGTTAAAAACATATATTATTCTCACGTGATAAGGTTCTAATTCCCACCAAGAAGGCGGAAAGTGGCTGCTTCAATCTTCTCTATTGGTGGCATGTACAGACAGTACAGTTAGCAATCTAGTTTATTATATATATCTGTGTTTAAATTAGGATGAGATAGATTAGGTAGGTAGGTAAAGGTTTAAAAAAAAATGTATAAAATCATCGCTTATAATTATAAAATGTAATCATTTTCACCAAACAAATAATTTTTTAATGATTGTAGTAAGACATTATTAGTATTTATAATTATTATTATTTCATCTATACATGTTATAGCTTTTTAACATATAAAAGTACCTAATTAAAACATAATATAACACAATATGTTTGTGTATGTATATATTATACCATTAAAAAGTACTTTATAAATGTATGTTCTATTGTTGTATAAAATATTACGACAGACATGCCCATGAGATCAAAAACCAAAAGATAAATAGAATTAAATTAATTAATTTTAAAAAATGGCGATATATTGTTGTACCAAAAAAAAAAATTATCTACATTATACGATAAGGAAGGATTAAAGGTGGGTGAATTATACAATATATTATTATAACAAGCGTAACTATTAGGATAATTGTTATAATAAAGTTTCTTACAATATTTTAGTCTAAAATGCGCAATTAAATGTAGTCTTCGAGCTAAGATAAAAGTCTGTTTGTACATGAAAATGTAAAAAATAAAACGAAAAAAAAAATACCAATTATTGCACATACGTATATAATATGATTTTTCAATAACAACACACAATAAAATATCTTTACACATATTTTTTTTTTTACAATAGAATTTATGTAAAATATTATATTATTTACATTTCTATAGGGTACGAATATATTATATTCGTGTAAATTTTCGGTCAGATCAAACCGTTTATATCCGATTATCATTATTTTATGGTATTGGCAAATTATACAGCTATAACGTTAAAAAGAGCTCTGATGAAATCCTCAGTAACCGTAAACAAAATCGGACCATAGTGTCTTCGCTTTGAGGGAATTTTGAGAATCGACAAAATTACTCGGTATTTTGTTCTGTTGACAACATTGTTATTATTATTGTACGTCGTCATTGGATTAACGGTCTTCTCAGCAGCTGCCAATGAGATTATTAGGTGTACAACACGTGTATGTGTAACGTTTATGTGAGGATGGGCAAATCGTTAGCGTTTGGACTTAAAACAGCGACGACGAGGTGTCGGACGACGTGACCATGATGTCGGAGCTGATGGTCTGCTGTTGATGTTGGCTGATGCTCCGCATGTTGTTGGCATTGGCGTCGCAGTCATTTAACACTTGACTTCCGCCGCCGGTGCCGGACGAGGTCATGAGCACGTCGGAAGCCGGGTTCCGACTCCGGAATCCTCCGCCGTTGTTGTTGACCAACATGAGCGCATCGGCCGACAGACTTAAAATCTTGGCGCTGTGCTCTTGAGCCTTGGCCCGGAGACAAGCGATGCTGTTGTTCCGGAACTCCTCCGAGTCCTGTGCCCGGTTCACTGCCAGCTGCATGACTGCCGCGTGGTGCTGTTCCATCTGCGACTGGATCTCCTGTTGGATGCGCCGGTGAGCCATGACGTTAGCCTCGCACTGTTGCTGTTGCCGGTCTTTGGCCTCGGCGTCTAGCTGCTGTTGCTGTTGCTGCTGCTGCTGCTGTTGCTGTTGCTGCTGTTGCTGTTGCTGCTGTTGTTGCTGCTGCTGCTGATGCTGCTGCCTTTGCGGTGACATGTCCGTCGGCATTTCCGGACTGGTCCTGCCCGAAGGCCTTTTGGCATTTTCTTCGTCCTCCTCGTCGTCGACGTCCTCGTCGTCCTCGTCGTCCTCTTTTTCGCTCTTTTGACTGGCACCGCTGCACACGGTATTGTCGTCCTTCAACTGATCAGCCGCTTCGATCGACTTCCGGTGCATACCTGCAACATTGACCGCTATACGATTAGTTTTTCAGAGCCACAGCTCTAAAAATCACGCTTTTTTTTTAGAGAGGACGCCACGCAACGCTTATTTTGGCCGCATAGTTTTTCGCAAATGTTTTTTTAGTTGTACGATTACAGTAGAGTAGAGTTACAAAATGTACATGTACAGTACACAAAGAAGAACTTTATGTGTTAATAATTTATAGAACTTAATATTATATTGCCAGTTCCGTAGCGTTTTAATTTTTTTCATAACAAACAAAATCTAAATTATTCATTCGTAAAGATTGTTTTTTCCTTTTACTTTTGTTTGTTTTATTAAAAGTTAATTTCTTTATATATATATATAAAAAACGCTACGACACAGATAAAGTTCTCTTCTATATATTGTAAAAACTTGGTTTGTCCCCCGCAGGCCGCACAGTGGTCTGAAACGCTAATTTAGGCGGCCAAAAGTATCATTTTTAAAAGCAGGATAAGAATTTTTTTTTTAGCACATTTTTTTCTCAATATCTTTATAAGGCTTAATATGAAATTTCGAGACTAAAAGTTGACATGGTAAAGCTAGAAAACTATTTAAAGAACCTAGTTCTAAAATTTGCCTGTTTTTCTAGTGATTTTTACCGAATCTTTTTATTTTTTTTTCTGCTTAAATAAAAGTTGTAAAAATTCGTTTTTTATTTAAATATATCCAAATAGTTTTATTAATTTTATACATTTTTTTTTTACCAAGTTTATAGACTTTTACTCGAACATTTTTGGTTTTCCCAATAAACTTGCTATTCCTAAAAGTTTTACTCAAAATTACGCAGTATTACGCATATTCCAATATACACATCTTGTAAAACAAGTCATCAGTCAATTTGTAAAAAAAAAAAAAAATTGCATCAGATTGCGTTTGCAGTGTACATAATGAAACTACTTAGAATAATACATTATTTCTGATATGGTGACTTTATTGGCTTCATCAAGAAATTTAAACAACATTAAACCTTTATTACTTCCAACGAAACTTGATGATTCACATTAAATTATTTATTTAAATAAAATAATTTTTTGAACATTTTGACTGGTGTACAGAGTGACTTTTTTATCATGGGCCACTCAATATTTCACTGAGTTTAATTAATAATACATTTTTTTTTTCATAGTCTTTTTATATTATAATGTGATCTCAATTTTCCACAAATTATTATGTTTCTACCCCCCTCCCAAACTAGTTTTTTTTATAACATTTTTTGAAACTTAAATGGTACCGTATATAATTTTTAAACTTTTTAAATTAAGAATACCTCACCAAAAAATTTGACTGGTAGATAACCAGTTCGTGATAATTTTTTTAAAAGTTGGAATATGCGTAATACTGTGTAATTTTGAGTAAAACTCTTTGAAATAGCAAATTTATTGGAAAAGCAAAAAATGTTCGAGTAAAAGTCTAAAAACTTGGTAAAAAAAAAAAATTGTTTTTTTAAATATTTATGAAATTAATACAATTATTTGGATATGTCAAAATTAAAAACGAATTTTTACAATTTTTATTTAAGCAGAAAAAAAAATAAAGATTCGGTAAAAATCACTAGAAAAACAGGCAAATTTTAGAACTATGTTCTTTAAATAGCTTTCTAGCATTACCATTTCAACTTTTCGTATCGAAATTTCATATGAAGCCTTATAAAGATATTGAGAAAAAAATGTGCTAAAAAAAAAAATTCTTATCCTGCTTTTAAAAATGATACTTTTGGCCGCCTAAACTGGCGTTTCAGACCACTGTGGGCCGCAAAGCAATTTGGATAGGAAAATAATTAGAATTTATCCTATAGAGATGATTATGATAGTCTGTTAAAAAAAAAATAACATCAATTAAGAATCTTCATTTCTATATTAATAAGTATACGAGTACACTACAGTTCAAGCTCTAAAGATTTTGTGAAAAATTGCATATATTTGATTTCTTGTGCTGCGCCGCGTGGCGTCCTCTATTATGCCGTTTGATTCCTTGGCTCTTTGCTATGAAACAGTTGAAACTATACAAGCAGTTACTAAGCACACCAAATATTAACTCATTTGTGTTATAGTTTTATATGACTTAATTGGCCGACAGTTGATTAATTTAAAATAAACCATAAAAAGGCTATAACAAATTAAGTTAAATAGTTGTAAATGTTAAAATAAATACTTTTAGTAGCTTTCACTAGTACGACAGTCATAAGTTTGTAAATGTAAAACATTTTATGAACTTAATTTAATTAAATTTAAAGTTTCGTTTTAATATAATTTAAGAACTTATCAATTGTTTAGTTTCTTGACACAAGTGGGAGTCAATAAGGAATAGAAAACGGAGAACATGGGAATTGTGAAAATCATTTATATTTTATGAATATTTGTATGCTAAAACGTTTAAGTTCTTTACAAAAGTGCATCTCTCAACACATATGCTTTACACGCAAATAAAAGGTGCTGTGGCGCTCTCATAAGTGAACGAATGTGATGGAATAATTGCAGTATTAGGCTTAAATACGACAGAACACAAAAACCGGCCATTTTTAATTGAGAATATAAAACGATGTGTATAGAAATTCGTATCTATTTGTAAGTACATGTATTGTGTTATAAAGTGCGCGAGTACTTAAAAAAAGGAGTAGTAATAGGATTTTGCGCATTTAATGGAGAGATACGAGCGAATTATAATAATCAAATATAATACATGTAATATGGTCGCCTATAGGTCTGTATAAGGCGTGAAAACAAAGCAAAGCAAATACCATGAACTAACGGGTAACCATCGGCCATTACGTGTTTGTAAAACAATGCCACACTTGTATATCGCGGCAAACGATTTCGAACAATGGCCATTGTGCTAATTCACCAAGCTCAATTCGGCGTTCCCATAGTAACGATAGTTTTACACGAGTACGCGAATAATAGCCCGAAGGGAAACAAAATAGATCAGACAACACTTACCAAGCAACCAGGGCGCGACGCATTCGTTTTCTTTGGCGCTCTTCAGGATCGTCTCCGGCAGAGGTAACGAATGTCTGACCATTGCGCCGTACAAACCGTACTCGGCCATTATCGTGCTTCTTCCCCAGCATTTTTCGGTTTTTCTCCACTTGGCCCGGCGGTTTTGAAACCAAACCTGTCCAATTACAATACCACAATGATTACACGTTTCACAAATTATTTGTTTATCTTTAATACAATATTAGACAACGACCGTTATATAACTTAATCTATCTTGACACAAGTTCTGCTTATTTAGATGAGGGGTGCGGCGTTAAAAATGAAAAATGCTAACAAAACAAAACTTCCATTGTTATCGAATATCACACTAGTCACTAATATGATGTGACGTCAAAGAGGTTAAGCGTAACATTGAATACAATTTGTTGAAAGAAAATTAGAAATTATTTATTATTTTAGCTTCAAAAAAATGGGTATATAATTTAATTACCATAAAGTTCAAATAAGTTGAAATATATGACATTAATGAAAGTGGATATTTTATTGAAGAGTAATAACTAGGAGATTACAATATTGGATCGGGACAAATTTGTATTCTTAAGTTGTAAAGTCTTTTTGAGCATAATCAATACTATTATGCCGCACATCTATTGCTAAGAGATATGCAATGCAAATAGTAAACAATATGATACAGCTATCGCTGTTTTGGTTAACGACCTACAATAATTATTCCAAAGAATTTATTCAATTTCCAACTGCCATATTTGGCAAATGGATTTAGATAGATTGGTTTTATGTACTACAAGTATTGGTTTAGATCTAAATGTAATGTGTCATATTCCTTAACTGCCTCTTTACTGTTTCCTTGTTAGATCCAGGCTTGAATACAGCTGAATAACACAATATGACATCGAAATTATGCCGTTATTAGAATGTTATGGCTGTATTGAGTGTATTGTCGTTAACAGTTTAACGGGTCAGCTGACAAGCCCATATAACCGATACCTTTTTTAGTAATATCATCGAGTAGAAAATATACCATGTAATTTATATTATAATTAATACATAGAGCTCTTTCGAAATTGAACATATTATGCGCAAATAATCGTTTGTTAGGCAATTAAAAAATAGCTTTTATAAAATTAGTTTTTGTTGTGCCGAAAATTACATGATAATGGATGACGAAAACTATGATTAATTGTTTAACAACAAAAATACTAACATGTACCTACCTATAACAAACATTGTACATAATATTATAATAATATAATATGTTATTTTAGTCGGTGACTATGGTGTATAAAACGCGTAACTAAAATATGACCAGCCACATTTACACATAAACGCCAGTCGCCAAACCCTTCTTTGTATTATAATTGTATATTACACATCAGTATTATAACTACGGGGAGTTATTATCAAATATATTAATATTAATAATCTTTCGGTGCGTTTTGTTCCCCCTTGTCTTGTACTGTTCGGTTTTCAGATGCGAATTAAATCGGCCGCGGTGTCACGATGAAACGGCAATAATTTCTGGCAACGGTGTTCGGACAATATTAAAAATTCATTGCAACTCTCCTTCTCTCTCTCTCTCTCTCTCTCTCTCTCCCCTTTCCACTTGTCAACCATTGCGCTGCTAATCGAACGACAAACGTGTACTGCACCCGCCGTTTGGTATTCGGCTTTATGACTGTGTTTCATCAATGGGTGAAGTTTCTGTTATCGTCGCCGACCCTCGACGGTGGTGTAATAATGCCAACAGGATAATCCGATTATGAGTCGTTTGCCTTCGTCAGTTAATTGAAACGATCCACAACGAATGCCACGCTGGCTATTGACAACTTGACCTACTACTATTGGCTACATGACAAAATTCTGTAAGGTAAAGCTAATCGCAATCAGTGACGGACAGACTGTTTAGTTCGAAGGATTGTTCAGCCCCTATATGGACCTATAGTATAAAAAAAATGTTCTCGAGAAAAAATTATCGAACCACTCAATGGCTTTGTTTAATTAGTTATTCTTTTAGAAAAGAAAAAAATATTTATGTCAGTCGTTAGCTGAAGATGACACATTGTTTCCGAAATGCGTATAGGTACGCATAGAAAGCATTATTTTTATAATTAAGGGTTAAATATATATAATAACCATAAGTTGCTTATTTTTTTTCTAAATCATTCTAATATATATATATATATATATATATATATATATATATATATATATATATATATATATTAATAAAACTACTATAAATGTAGGTATATTATTATTGTATATCACCAATGTATAATATAAATGAGTATTTCCATGAGTAAACGAATTGCAGATAATCAACATTAAATTAGTTTATAATAATAACGAAATTATAAGTATTTTGTTTTTTGTTTAATAACAAGCTGTCCGGACCCGGCGTTGCCCGAGATTTAGTCTGCCAGGGCTGAGTAAAATAATTCCCATTCCCCCATCCCCACCTTTATCCCAATCTCCACCCCATCCCTCATCTCTAATCTCTAATCTCCTACCTCTTATCAGCATGACAGGGTTTTTGCGACACTTTTTTCAGTTATTATGTCCTCCTCTTATTCAAGGGTCCCGTTCCAACAGTTAAAAGCTTGCCCAGAATCGTGGTACATAGAATCGGCCTGTTCCTTTAATCATCACCTACCATTTGCTCGAGTACCGTGGCTACCATGGTTACAAACCAAGTGTTTATTTTGGGTTACCATGGTTACAAACATTTACTTTATTTACATATCGTATTTAAGGTACAAAGTTGGTGTTTGAGGACATCCTTAGGAGTGGAATTTTCGAAAAGTACTATGCCAGTTATCTTCGCGGAAGTGTACTCAACAACTTCCCAAAGTTTCATGGCGATCGGATGAACGGTATACTAATGCATAAAGGACAGATAGACAGATATTCATTTTTATATATATAGATGATTATCGTAAATAAAACCACAATTTAAAAAAAAATCGAAAATGATAGCATTCTTTACTCTATGATATTGTAATTATACTACTATATAGTAGAAATTGTACATTATATTAAATTCGCGTTTATAATTCTATTACAGCGAAAGATATTATAAAAATAATATCTTATATAATAATAATTATACATGAAACACGTGTCCTCATATTGTATGGTCATAATTACTATTTATGTAATAATAGTCTAACGTTAGAGTCATTACTTCATGCCTATTATTCTGTACAACCGCTATGTGCTTTAAATTACATTAAAAACACAGAGTTCCACACAAACGCATCAATGTAGTATTGTGATCACAAGCTTTTGTCGCTTAAACCCTTCATTTAGAGGATTTTATTTGTCGACTTTTTTTTTTTTATACGCCAAACACCATAATTTCAACACGTTTAACAATACACAAAGGGTACAATATTGTTTGTGAGTTCGAGTTCACTGCCCACTCGAAACGGATGACACGGTAAATAAAATTTAACCGACGATACTAGACAACGCCACTATATACCATAATGCAACAAAAAAAGAAAAATGTAAAAAAAAAGCTCCACGAACACCAAACTTTTACCCGCAACAAACCGAAAGCGTCTATATAAACATAAACATACATTACGGAGTGTGTAATCAAAAGGGCCGCAACAATAATGGATATTGTAATTTTTATTTCTTCGAATTCGCTTTATAACGCGGTATAGACCCTTTTAACTCGTTCTAAATAAGTTACCGTCGTCGTTCATTAACAATAGAAAATATGTAAATACGAAAACATAACATAAACTGTTATTGACTTTCGCTTGAAATGCAAGTAGGTATTTTCATAAAATTTCGAGCGTGTCAATACACACAAAAAGGTCCCGTTGCCGGTCAAATGAAGTGATTTTCGTTTTGGTCGAGGGAAAAAATGAACTTGCCGCCGTCACCCTCGGCCAGGAATTTACTTTCGTGGATTTTTTTTTCGTTGCTCCTGCACAGAGATTTGGACGTTAAAGAAGGGCGGTTTTTTTTTATTATTATTATTATTTACTTTGCGTACTATGCGTTCGAGCCGGCCAACCGTCAAGTTCATTTATACAGTGTACCTGCACGCGAAGGAATGATGACCGACTTATGTCCACGCCGTATACCTAACTGGGGGATGGATAGAGAGAATTAGAGTACGGGAGTGAGCAAGCGGAGGGGACAAGGTAGGGAGGACAGAGACCTAGGGAACGCGGTCGAGCCGCGGCGGTTGCGGCCATACCGTATTCCGGAATGCCAATAGCGCGCATAGCATAGCCGACCCGTGCCGACCGTTTCTATAAGGGTCATTAATTTTGTTTGAGAACCCGGTAAGTGGAGGATTAACGAATTAGCGGGCGCTATTATGTGCGCCGGGACGGAAAAGGGCGCGTCCGTCTCGTAATTTATGGGTGCCCAGGAAAAGTCAATTATCCGGCTTGCCGAACACCGCGCGCACATTCTTGGGGCAACCCCCTCCCCCGCGCCCACCCCCTCTGACTATCCTTTTCTGGTCTTTTGTCCTGGAAGCGACGACAGCGATGCGACCGTTTTAATAACGTCCACAGACTACATAATATACACACACGCGTGTAGCACGACCGATCATATCAGGCGAAAATACATTAATATAAGACTATTCCAAACGCTGTGTTATGGACACACCGGAGTGATGTCATTGAAATGTTCCAACCAGATTTGGTTAGGACCATTGACAGTACCTATGCTCGTACCAGATATATTTTTTAATTCATACTTACTAAGAATCTACGTGACGAGTATGATATTTATTAAACAACGAGCATTTACATTTCGACCTCTATATACTTTGGGGCTTGGAGCATTGGTATAAACTAAACAATTGTAAACAACTTCGGTAGTAGAAGGCAAAAAGGCAAATATTGGAAATCCATGCAAACTATAGAAAGTTTTCCACTTTAAAAAAAAATAATCTATAAATTTGATTAATCAACCGTCATCGTTATTCTCATTAAAACCCGGCCAAAGTGACTAGTTAAAAATAATTTTTAATTATAATTTAATAACTGTTGACTATGGCTATAATATGCCACGAATAATACAGTGCAGGCTACATGTGATTTTTATTTTTTCAGTGATACATTAAAATATGAATATTGATGCATTACGTTTGGTAATAAAACGATTTTAGCTTCGACGGAGAAC